GTGGAACCAATGCCTACTTCTCAGATTTGGGCCTCGTGCTCAGGCGACGAGAATGGGTACTACAGACCACTTCCTAGCGATCGGGGCTCGGAAAGGTCGGCGAAGACATGTTACCTTTTTCAAATCTTTTGTGGACAGATGACCGACTTAGGATACCTAACACTGGCCACAAGTAGGAGCCGCCTCGATTATGGTGGATTGGAGCCAAAAAAAGTTCCGATCCTAGTAACAAATTTATACGAACAGGAAAGTGAGCCCTGCCAGAGAATGACAAAGGGCAAACGTGCACATACGAGGTACGTATGACTCTACCGCATGGGGCCCTGAAAAGACTATGGGGCGTATAGGATCAGAAATTGAATAAAAGAAACAAATGAGGCATACAAACAAAATAGGAGGCGTCTTAATTAACCTCAATAGGAGTTCAAAGAAGTTCCGGTCCCGATTAAACGTTTGCAAAAACATGAAAGTAAACCTATACATCTATATTTGCACGAACAAATAAATTCCGATGTGAATTAACATTGATTAACCTGGATAGACGCGCTAAAAAAAAAAAAACGAACTGACTCCTTTTTTTTTTTTAACGTCTGTGCTTTGCATTTTGGTTGCGTTCTTCGTGTTGCACTACGTCTTCTTTGTTTTTCTTTTTTTCTTTTTTTTTCTACTTGACACTATATTACTCTTCTTCACATAATTACATCTATATATGGATGTTTTGAGGTGTATTATTTTCGTTCCGGTTTTCTGTATGGATCTTATTCCTCCTGTCCGCTGTGACGTGCCCATGTACAAATACGTACGTATGTGCCCATTAACATGGCAGAGGACCAAGATCCATATGACGATTCAACCAACAGTAATGTATCCACCGTTCCAACTTTCTCTTCACCTGCGGATAGGTCCTTGCATGTTCCGTGAAAGTGTCGCAAACGCCTTCGGCGTTGTGAAAGGGCTGTTAAGGATCCTCGGGTGTCTTCGCCAATGGTATCAGAGTGTACTGGGTGTCCTTCCTTTCTTCCAGGTCAAGTCGGTTTGTCTTCGTTAAACTGCCCTTCTTCCTAATCCAACCATGGATTGAGATTGCGTATAGGTTCGAATATTACTCCCGGTCGCTCTACGAGTGACACACCGATGTCATCACAACACAAACACCGCAAACGTGGACCACCAGTTTCTCAAAGTCGTCGAACCCGAAGGTCTTTACAATAGGCGGTAGGTGCTGCAAGTGAGGGGATTGCTCCCATGAGAGATAAACAACCGATGGTAACTCAAGATGATGGTCCCGATTGTTCTCCCGAAGAACAATACAGTGATAGGTCTCTATCTTTTCGACAAGCGATTCCATCGATGAATGATTTCACAAGCCTTGTGTTTTTCAAAAGAACGAGTCAAGGAAATATTAATGTTCGTACGGATTGCATTAGTTGTCATGAAAATCTTTCTATGACCTTGCAAAGTGAACATCCACTTGAAATTCGTACGGATGTTGCAATAAATGCAGATTCCATTTCGATGGTCGAAAGATCGGTTTTACTCGATGATTTTCCCTCGCACTCGCCACATGTGCACAATTGTTCATCGTCGACATTGACTGCCGATGTCCGACCAAAATGTGTGGAGAGCAACCTTTCTCCCACTTTGACAAATGTTCATGCACATTCATCTGCTGCTGCCACGACCCAACCGAATTCGTCGAACACATTAATTAGAAAGTTTATTGGATCTCATAATCGACGGAGAAGATTATCATTGTGGAAACCGATTTGTTCAAGGCGCAACAAACGGTACCGTATGTTGTTGATTCGACGACTGCGTGCGAATAAAGTCGTGCGTCGTTTGGAACTTGGATCTTTGTCGTCGATGCCTCACCGTGTGTCATCGGGCTATGATGCAAGTGAAATAGTTGTTGAAAGTACTGTAGAGGCTGGTGAAGGAACAAAACAAGTCGATAGAACGAATGTGAATGAATCATGTTCTACGTCGCGTATAATTTCAAAACGAAGGAAAAGCCAGGGAAAACGACCAAACTTTCATGTTCAACGTATGCGTGCATTGAGAGTTGCGCTTGAGAATCATAGGAGGAAAGAAGATATGCGTGCTCATAAAGATTTTATGCGGAGTGTGAGGCAAAGTTTGTTCGCTGTGAATATTCTTCGAGAGATTCGAGCGAGCGCCTCTGCGCAATCGAGGAGTGCATCTTCTCCTGTGAAACAATCGCTGAGTCAATCTTCTCGGGCGAGGCACTCGCGGAGTCTGTCATCCCGAGCAAGACAATCGCAGAATCCATCCGTGAGAAATCGAAATTCAATGACTCGTGAAGACAATAAACCAAATAGTCGCGAGGAAGAAATGAATGATTCGCATAATGTTCCGGCTCCTGATCTTAATGCACTCCCATCGGCACCCGTGGCAACAACGTATGCGGCGGTTGAGAACACCGTTGCGATTTTTGGGAATGCTAGCACTGTTGAACCATTCGGGATTGGCAGTCGAAATCCGTGTAAGCATTGTGGTGCTAAATTGTAGCATCATGAAACAAAATGGACAAAGATGTGTTGCCGAAAAGGTACAAAACGTTGTCCTTTATGGGAATGACCTTGCGAAGGCTCCCCGGAACATGAGATTCTTTCCCTTTGGACGTCTCAAAGTTCCGACGACCGATTCCTTCGAAACAATGCGAGGATAATTGATAATAGTTTATCCCTCGCATCCTCACGGTTGAAGCAGCCGAGCGATGGTGTCCAAGTATTCCAGGGCCAACTTCGGGCTCACGGTCCAATCTTTTATCGTATCGGTGCATTGGCTGTCGGGGAAGGGGGACGTCCTCAGTTTGCGCAACTATACTTGCACGATCCTCAACGTTTGGATGATGCGATTGATCAAAGGGTAGATTTCCTTAACTTGCCTACACGTACATCCGACGTTGAACTTGATCGAGCGAAACGCATATTGAGAAGGTTTCATGAATTGCTACAACAATGTAACAATTACGTGAAGGACCTTATGACGGTTGCTGACCTTCCGCAGGAGACCTTGAATGAGAGGAAGTTGGTCATAAATCCGGATGCCATGCCTGAGGAGGAACATGCAAGGCGTTATAACCGTCCTATGGGTCTACATGAGGTGTGTGTTCTGATGGCCGATGAACTCCTTCCTCGTGAGCTCGAGATTCGTTTGCGTGCTCCTCTTCCTGGTGAGCGACAGACAGTTATGGTTCCGAAATGTTCTCGAGCGCAAAACTGCTTCCAAAATGGGGTTGTAGGCCTTAGTCGAGCCTGGCTTCACTTAGGGCGGCCGACTGTATAGAAAATAGGGCCCAGTAGGGCGTATCGAGGCCTTGAGCTTCGCAACCCCCATAAGACTTGATACAAGTGTTACGATCCTGGCCAATTTCGAAGTATACATTCATCAGAAAGTACAATGCCATGCAATTGCAAGAAGAAATGAATGAACTTGAGAGGAGAGAGAGGGAAGGAAGAAGAAGAAGTAAGAAAGAAGAAGAAGATGATGTACTCCAGCATAGACCAATGGCAAGGCTCTTCTTCTTCGCCAACCAATCTCCTCCTCCTTATCTCCTCCCCTCTTATTCAAACAAGAAATAACAATAATAATGTTGAATGGCTGAACAAGAATCAATGTCCGAATCCCACTTCTACTGCAGGCACAACATGAGGTCCACCATAGCCATGGCCACCCTTCTCCTTCCTCGTCATTGCAGGCCGAGGCTATGGCGGACTACTGAGGCTTCAGCCTCCTATCCAAAAGGACAACCCAAAGCAGCTATGCCGCTGCTCACTGAACCGCCATGCCTGACTCTACCTCGAGCTTCCTTGGTGCGGCACTACCCCAACGGGGGCCTTCCAGATGCAGCGCCTGACAAGGTGATGAAGATGGTGCCCACCATAGCCAGGTAGGTACCTCGCCACTGTCCCCCTTGGTCCCCTTCTCCCTCCTCCTCCTACCGGCCGAGCTCCACCATAGCCGAGGTGGAAGCTCCCGACTTCTTACTCTCAGCAGCGCTGTAGCAGCCAACGCTCTTCCAACCAGCGCTCCAACAGCGTGGCGCCCAACTCGCACACTGAAGAATGAGGCCGAGCTCTTCCCTCAGCCTCTTGATATAGCGGCCTGCTTGCCTTCTGGGCGGTGACTTCCAGGCCCCTCGGGCCTCTAAAAATGCCAACTTTTTCTTCTTCTGCTCGGCCTCGAGTACCCGGCACATCTACTGCTACTGGGTGCAGTACCGGCCTACCTGCTACTTGAGTGTTTTCCCGCTGCTCTAAGCACCGCGGGCCCCTGGCTCCGCTACTTGAGTGTTTTCCCTGCTTCAACCCTCAATGCCACGACCACAGGTAAGTACCGGCCCTACGGGCCTGCCAAACAAGCAAGTACCCTTGCGGGTCACACACACACTCGTGTCGACAAGCACTCAGACAGGCACGCAAGTCAACAGGCACACACACATACAGACTTAGAAAACACAGCCGAATGCAGGAATCTCAGCAAGGCATCCATTCCATCGGCAGAACTTCAAGAATCAGCAGTGTTCTCAGTCTGTGTTATGGTGGGTCATTACACTACCCCCCCCTCAAGAGCGAGGTCCCTTCGAGCGAGTAACTCAATCAGAGTCCTTGCATAATGCATCATAAGCGTAAATAGCAAAGAGAGATCGGGTATATTCCGTAGGAGTGAGGGTAGCAGTGAATTTAGGCTGTTGTTCAGAACTAATCAATCGTTCATATGCGTTGACGACTCGCGGGGCACTCTGCAACAAGTCTTTCTTAGCGATCGAGTAAAAGTCATTCAACGGGTGGTACAAAAAATGGACTTTGTACTGTCTGTTTCTTCCCTTTCCACTGTGCTCGACAATTCTATTAACCTCGTGACTGCCATTGATTGCGCGGGGAACCATTGATTCTCGATACGAAAAAGTTTCAGGTGGTTCATACGGAAACAACTTCGACGCATGAAAGACTGGGTACGTGCGCAAATGAGTAGACACGTCGATCGTGTAAGAAGGACCAAAGGAGTCATCTCCTACTCGGTTCAGCACCTTCCACGGACCGTAGTACTGAGGAAGAAGCTTCCGTGATACACCTTCTTCTTCAGAAAACTCAGACATGTTAACCCAGACATAACTTCCCATTGTAAAAGGGTCAGGCTGACGCTTTTTGTTTGCATGCTTAATCATGGCACTGCGTCGCTTTTCCATAACTGCGACAACAACTTTGAGCAAACGATCAAACTTAGCGCTATAGCCTGGCTGGCCAGGTGTCAAGCCACATGGCTGTTCAGGAAACAGATAGGATAGAGGATTGCGAATTTCCCACCCCAGGTGCAACCGGTTAGGTGTTATCTCGGTGGAGGGGTGTATGGAGTTGTTGTACAACCCCTGCACAATCGACAACTCCTCATCCCAAGAGTTCTGATCAGGCACAATTAGAGCTCGGAAAAGCTGGATCACAGTCTGGTTGATCTCCTCGGCCAGCCCATTGGCTTCGGGATGTCGACCAAATGTCATCTTGAGTTTGATGTCATAGATCTGGGAGGTGAAGTCCTTCCAATCTGCACTTATGAACTTAGTGTCCCGATCAGTCACGAGAGTTTTCGGGGGTCCACACTGCAGAATGTACTTCTTATGAAACTCTTTGATCACAAGGTCAGTTGGGGCGTGAGGTGGTAATGGAATCAGATTCATAAATTTTGAAAAGCGGTCAAAGATCACCATTACTTGCGAATATCCATTCCTACTCTTCTTCCCCATGTCCGTGAAGTCGATGGAAAGAGACTCACCCGGGCCATCAGGAATAGGAAGAGGATGCAACAGCCAATAGGGCTTTTGCTGAGACGGTTTGATGCGTTGACAGACTTCACACTCAGCCACAAACTTTCGTGTCATTCCTTTCATTCCAAGCCATACAAACTTTTGCAGCAAACTTCCGTATGTTTTCTCAAAACCGAAGTGTCCACTCCGGTCATGAGCCAAGTCCAAGAAGTGAGTAAGGATCGACTCATGGTTGGGTACACACAGTCGATCGTGCTTCCCGTAACGTAGGAAAAGTAAGCTCTTACACTCATGGAAATCAGGCTGACTGCTAGGGTCAACCTGAATCTGCTCAAGGATGGGACTGAGTTCTGGGTCCTTCGCAGTGTGCTCAATGAGTTCCTCCTTCAAATTCTTACGGAGATCATAGGAACCCACAAGGCAAGTCATGTACTGAGGATGGCGAGACAAAGCATCCGCAACGCGATTGTAACAACCTTTCTTGTGCTTAAGTTCAAAATCATACACATCAATCTCATGCAGCCAGCGGGTCAATGTGGTTGATGGATTAATCTGTCTGAATCCATTTCAAAGTCTCGTGATCTGAGAACACTTTGAAATGACGACCCAAGAGGTAGTGTTTCCAATGATCTAGTGCCTCTCTCAAGGCGTAGAGTTCTCGCATGTAAGTGGAGGCACCTACCTTGTGGCTGGGCATGTGTTTGCTGTAATATTCAAGCGGACGTAAGCCATCGTCGTCATCTTGCTGCAGCACTGCACCAATCCCATACAAGCTTGCATCCGTAGTTACTACGAATGTAAGTTTGCGATCTGCAATGTGGAGCACCGAATGATTTACCAAAGCCTCCTTCAACGCTTGGAAGGCTGTATTGCATTCCCCATCCCATGTGTAAGACACATTCTTACTTGTCAACTTGGACAACGGACGGACGATGATAGAGAATTTGGGTACAAACTTACGGTGGTATGACGCAAGACCAAGAAAAGAACGCAACTCGCGGACATTGACCGGTTGAGGCTAGTTGCGGATGACCTCAATGTTGGTTGCCTCGGGCTCTAGGCCTGCAGCAGACAACCGATGTCCAAGGTAGATGACGTTGTCCCTCCCAAACTCAGATTTTTTCAAGTTGAGATGGAGTTGCGCATCCTTGAGGATTTGTAACACTTCCTCAAGGTGTCTCATGTGCTCCTCCATCAACTTGGTGAAGATTAGTATATCATCCAGATAAACAACAACAAATCGATTGATCTGATTGCGGAACACCTTGTCCATGAGACTTTAAAAGGTGGCTGGTGCATTCGTGAGACCGAAGGGCATGACAGTAAACTCGTACAACCCATCGCGAATTTTGAATGCAGTTTTATGCTGGTCTGCAGGGTCGACTTCAATCTGGTGGTAGCCAGACTTGAGATCAATCTTTCTAAAGACCTTGCACCCACCTGCAACATCAAGCAGATCATCAATATGCGGCAAAGGATATGCATTATTTCTTGTTATTCTATTCAATTCAGGTAATCGATACACATAGTTTGCCTCCTTTCTTCGGGACAAACAAAATCGGTGCACCGAATTCGGATTCGCTTGGCTTGATCCATCTCTTCCCAATCATGTCATCGATCTGTCTTCGCAACTCCTCCAATTAGCCTGAGCCCATTTGATAAACACAGCCTTTTGGAGGAGCGCTACCTTCTATCAACTCGATCTTGTGTCAAACCGGACGCACGGGAACTCCATGCGGTTCGGCCAAGACTTCAGGAAATCGGTTGAGAAGGTTGCATATTTTTTATGGGACTTCTGGAGGTGGATCATCACTTTCAGGTGCAAGCATACCGGATTGCATAAGGTGCAACCAAAGCAACAGAATTGGAAGCAGAGTCGTTTGGACTAGAAGTAGATTTAGTAGAGGTAGAAGTAGTTGCATTAGAGGTAAAAACGACATGCAAAGTAGAATCGTTATGTACAACAAAAATAGAAGGCACATGAGCAGGCCTAACAAAGGCTATATACATTTGCTCATCAACTTTGCGCTTGCGCCACTTGTTGCAGAGTTGCATTGTATTGAGAAAAGTTACTTGGGACTCGAGGACTGGACGCTCAATTCCCATGGCATCTTTGACCATGAACTGTTAGTCCTTCCACGTGGTTCTTTCACATTGGGCCTGCAACCAGCCTAAGCCAATAATCGCGTCGAAGGGGCACTGATCAAGGACGTAGAAATTCAACTCATGTGTGATTGTGCGGGTTGCGTCAAAGGTAGTGCGCACACCTTTGACTGCATGCGTAGATGTGACAACCTCTTGGTTGCCCACTTGGGTCCGACAAGGATTCTGCAAAGTCACTTGCTTCATTCCCAAGCATGCCTTACGAATGTTGTGCGGTGAGAAGTAGTTAGCGGTTGCGCCACAATCAGCCAACACACGGATGTAACGACCATTAATGCGGAGTTTGAAGAAGATCAACTTTGTTTTCCCTTGCGCGCGTTCTTGCTTCATGTGAGCCCAGCGCGACAAGAGAGAATGAAAGTCAATTTCTTCCGACTCCACTCAAGGCGCCTTGTATAGGATGTGTACTTTCTCAGCCTTGGAATCAGCATCAGATGGGGTGTCAAGAGAGGTTTGTTGAGTAGGATCAGAATCTGGTGAAGGATCTACACTTACATGTTCAGCCTCTTCGTCCGTAGAGTGTGTTGATGATGTCTCTACCCCCATTATCGGTTTCCTTGCTGCAATTCGAAGCAATGTTGGACTGAGTGTCCCGGTTTGGTGCAATGCAGGCAAACCCCTTTCTTCACCCTGTGTTTCCACTCACTTTCACTTATTCGGAGATCTACCCATGGTTTTGTGGCAGGATCTTCCGTTTTGGGTGAAATCTTCGCTCCCTTGGGAAGGAGAATAGTGTTAGTATTGTTCTTCACTATGGTCCTCGGTCCCTTACTTTTGAAGGTAGTCTTCTTGAAGGCATTCATGGATTCTTCGTCATTTACATACTCAAACTCATAAGTTGACGAAGAGCAAGATGCCTCGCAGCCTTGCTCTTGATCGTCATCAAGAGGAGGATCCTCTGCAAAGGTCTCCTCATCATCCTCAAGTAGATCGTGCGCTGAAAAACGGTTGCTGCCTGGGAACCGTTTGCGGTCGGTGGCCTTTTTGCCACCCGATCCACCCGGGAGGTCTTGTGCCTCCATCTTGACTAAGTCCCGCATGAGGGTAAGCCAATTTGTATACGCTATGAGTTTGAGCCCCAGGCGATGTGTTATAGTAGAGGGGACCATACCTTTAATCACATCCAAGCAAGACTGCGCAGTCATCTCCAAATCAGGAGTAGCAAAAAGTTTACTGACGTACTGCCGCAGACTATGCATGGTGCCGGTCCACTTGTTGTGCTTGAGCTGTCAAGCTTAAGTCTAGCTTTGGCTGCATCATGTGGATCAGCATATTGTTTGATCAAGAGTTCCTCGAGTGTGGCTACAGGCGTAGCCTTCAGCCATTTGTTCAGGTCTATTCTTTTATAGTCTGCTTGCACGACTTGGATTTCTAAGAAACCCCTTACTGTGGGTTCCACATTGGTCCTTAGGACCGACGACTGAGTAACCTGGAGTATCCCCAACACATCAAAGTAGGATCGCACAGAGCTGATCCAGGATTCAATGGCGTCCTTTTTGTCGTATTTAGATGGAATTTGTGCCGCCTTTCTACCCATGTAAGGAAAGTTGCAGCTTGGACCAGCGGTTGCTGGGTCCGAATTCAGGTCTGCAACAATTCTAGAATGCCCTGCACTGCCACTTGCTGCTGCAGCAGCAACAACGGGGTCTGGACCTGCAGCAGATCCGGTTAGGTTGTAGGCCACACTCAAAGAAGAGGAGGGAAGAAAAAGACATGGTTAGAGGGGCAAGAACAGACTGACACGCAACACTAGAAGCAGGGAAAGCAGGCGGAAGGACATTTTGGGCCGGCTGCAAGTTAGCAAACTGTTGCAGCTGGTCACGGTGCTGCTGCGCCATCCGGGCCATATCCTCGCACAACTTCTTGAGTTCGTCGAACACCTTTGCGAGTTGGCCAGTATGGTTTTCAACTCAGGCCCTGAGGACTGGGACAGTCTTCTCTTCCACCTCAGCATCAGTTAAGGCGGGCACGATACTGAAGACGGCTTCATGAGCCTTTACTTTGTCTTCCCTCTCTTTCTCCTTCTGTTCCTCTTCCCTCTTCAATGCTTTCTCATAGAAGAATAGGTACTGCGCTTTTTCTGCCTCAGGGGCAGCGTCCATTTTCAGCTTTCATTCTGTTGCAGATGCCATGATGGAGGATGAGGGTGTTGATAAGTCTCTCAAGAGGGGTCCGTACTTTCTCACACTTCTGGGACGAACACTCCTCTTCCCTCTCCTCACTCCCTCAAGAGCAACACTCAGAAGCTTCTCTCTTCTCTCTCTCTCTCTCTCTCTCTCTCTCTCTCTCTCTCTCTCTCTCTCTCGTTTGCGATCGTGTAGACGCAGGCATTTAACGAACCCAATGAAAGAAACAACTTGAAATCAATCAGAAGAGAAGGTAGAACTCCTAGCCGGAGCGACAATTCATTTGGACTGGAGAGCAGTCAAAACACCAACAAAAAAATAAAAGATCAGAGAGATTTGATTCCGCCACACAGTCTGGTCCGACTCAACTCCGTGAAGACACAACAAATCAAATTCAAAGTGTACTATGTAAATGCAAGAGAGAATTGACTGGTGTCCCAGGTGCCAGTCAGGCGGCGGATCGTGCGGTAAAGTCTAATAAAACGTCTCAGCTGAGATCCCCTCAGCAGCAAGTGTCCTGGTCCGAAAGCATGAACTCCGAGTCCCAATCAGATAGAGCGAGGTAACTGACGTCAACAGATTTGGGCCTGCCAGAAAGACCTACTTTCTGCCCCTACCGAATTGAAAAACGAAATTTAGCCCCAGAAAGAACCTACAGACTACAACCGTTCAGAATGAAATAAACAAAGCACTGTAGAAAGATATAGCATGACAAGCAAGATACTCCATTCATTCACTCGTCAGGTGAGTAAGCAGTTCACACACCTCACACACAATCAAGACTATGGAGGATGGAAGAAGAACCTAAAAAACCCCAACCGACAGTCAATTCCATGCACGACACTTACCTCAGTGGCCGGGCTCTTGAGATGAAAGAACTCACCCCCCTCTCACATTGTCCTCCTGACCCAATTAGCATCCTCTACACTAGCGTCCTATCATCTAGGAGGGTCAACATCTACCCCAAAATACAAAGCCGGATCCCCCGTCGATGTTGAAGATCAAAGCAGCAACTTGCAGTCCGTAGGTGCAGATATGGCTGCCACCCTCAAGCTCGCCTAACTTGAGGGGAGCCCTAAAGTCACTCCTCGTCTTCCTTGAAGTCCAGATTCAAGTTGTAGGTGCCCTTCACTGTTGCCTCTCTCAAGTTGNCACCACAAACATGCACTCAAGCAACCTGGCCGGGTCTAGTGTCGACCCTACACGGCCCTGCCAGGTGGGGGCAGCTTCCCTTTACCACGCTGCCCCACTTAACCCTAGCTTCCGCCCTAACCCTAAGTGGTTAGCCCTTACCACTAGGGTTAGGGTTATGGCAGCAAAGTCAACTCTCGCCAGCAAGTAGAATCCGCTCTGATACCAATGTTACGATCCTGGCCAATTTCGAAGTGTACATTCATCAGAAAGTGCAATGCCATCCAATTGCAAAAAGAAATGAATGAACTTGAGAGGAGAGAGAGGGAAAGACGAAGAAAAAGAAGTAAGAAAGAAGAAGAAGATGATGTACTCCAGCATAGACCAATGGCAAGGCTCTTCTTCTTCGCCAACCAATCTCCTCCCCTCTTATTCAAACAAGAAATAACAATGATAATGTTGAATGATTAAACCAGAATCAATGTTCGAATCCCACTTCTACTGCAGGCACAACATGAGGTCCACCATAGCCATGACCACCCTTCTCGTTCCTCGTCATTGCAAGCCGAGGCTATGGCGGACTACTGAGGCTTCAGCCTCCTGTCCAAAGGACAACCCAAAGCAGCTATGTCTCTGCCGCTTCAAGCAGCTATGGCGCTGCTCACTGAACCGCCATGCCTGACTTTACCCCGAGCTTCCTTGGTGCGGCATTACCCCAACGGGGGCCTTCCAGATGCAGCGCCTGACAAGGTGATGAAGATGGTGCCCACCATAGCCAGGTAGGTACCTCGCCACTCTCCCCCTTGGTCCCCTTCTCCCTCCTCCTCCTACCGGCCAAGCTCCACCATAGCCGAGGTGGAAGCTCCCGGTTTCTTACTCCCAGCAGCGCTGTAGCAGCCAGCGCTCTTCCAACCGGCGCTCCAACAGCGTGACGCCCAACTCGCACACTGAAGAATGAGGCCGAGCTCTTCCCTCGGCCTCTTGATATAGCGGCCTGCTTGCCTCCTGGGCGGTGACTTCCAGGCCGCTTGGCCTCCCAAGCAACAGGTACCTCCTCCCTTTCGGAGGGAAATATCATTGCAGACTCTGATATTGCCCACACAGGCTCTAGACTCAGACTGGATGGACTGGTACCGGCCTAGACCTAGCCTACAGCTACTGGGCCTCTAAAAATGCCAACTTTGTCTTCTTCTGCTCGGCCTCGAGTAACCGACACATCTACTGCTACTGGGTGCAGTACCGGCCTACCTGCTACTTGAGTGTTTTTCCGCTGCTCTAAGCACCGCGGGCCCCTGGCTCCGCTACTTGAGTGTTTTCCCTGCTTCAACCCTCAATGCCACGGTCACAGGTAAGTACCGGCCCTACGGGCCTGCCAAACAAGCAAGTACCCTTGCGGGTCACACACACACTTATGCCGACAAGCACTCAGACAGGCACGCAAGTCAACAGGCACACACACATACAGACTTAGAAAACACAGCAAAATGCGGGAATCTCAGGAAGGCATCCATTCCATCGGCAGAACTTCAGAAATCAGCAGTGTTCTCAGTCTGTGTTATGGCGGGTCATTACGAAAGTTTATTTTTCTGAATTGCAATCAGACTCGTCTTCTTTCTTACTCAGCATGCATGAAACAGATGGCAATCACACGAGCGACAAGCGCCCACACAAAGCTTAGAGATATCGTGTCCAAGAACACAGTTCAGAATCAACTTGCTTCGAATGGCTATGGGGCCTGTGCGCCCTCACAACACCCTTCCACGCTGTATCCTCAGCAACAGTTCACACGCATGCTACCTTTGATCTCCCTGGATGTCCCACACACGCTCACAACTTCTGCACACTCATATACAAACATGCTGTGGCCTATCTCTAACCTAGCGCAGCTATGGCTGCTTGCTACCTCTACCACTAGCTAGCGACTATGGCCGCTTCGTCTCCCTTCCAGCCCACTTCTTCCTCGGGCACTCGCAGACCTCCTTGCACAAGTCGCTCAAGCAGCACTTCCGCACGGCTCACAGTCTGAATGAATGAATAACTGGACGCTGCCTCTTGATTTATACTTCAGTCAATCGCTGGTCTGCTCCTTTCCTTCGGGCCTAGGATGCACACAGTTCCACATGGTACTTGCTGACTGGACAAGGTGCGACTAGGACTGGGTACCGCTGACTAGACCTGGTAAGTCTGCCCACTTGCCGACTTGCCCACTTGCCTACGGACTGCTTCTGACACTCTCGAAGGGGCAGTCCTAGAAGACTCTAGACCTTCCTACTTGCCCTTTCGGTATTGTAGCAGCTATGACTAAGGTTGACCCTTCAGATCTACAGCAGCTACGACCAGGCATAAGCTACGACTCCTACCCTACACGTAAGCAGCTCGAACCTACTCAACCTTCATTTCTGCAACAGCCTTAGACAGACAACTTTAGGGGCAGATCACAGGTTCAAACATTGATGGGGCAAACTGTACTATACACGTGTTCAGGGCAGGTATAGGGATCGAGCCCTGGGATATGCATCTGCTACCACGAAGGTGAAAACCGTTTCAGAATGCCATATTGTTAAGATCCTGGTCATTCTCAAAGTGCAATTTCACAATGAAAGACAATGCCACCCAATTGCGAAAGAAATGAAAGCACTTGCAAAGAGATAGAGACCAAAGAAGAGAGAAAGAAGAAGAAGAAGAAGAAGAAGAAGAAGAAGAAGAAGAAGAAGATGTACACCAGCAAGACCAATGACAAATCCCCCCTTCTCTCTCCACCTTCCTCCTCCTCCTTCACTGCGCCAATCTTATTCTTCTTCCAATAATATAACAATGAGTGGATGAACCAGAATCAATATCCGAAGTTCCCTCTTACTGCTGACTCAACAACAACAACAACAACAACCGCAAGTCCACCATAGCTATGGCTTCCCTCCTTCCTCCTCTCACATGCCTAGGCTATGGCGGACTACTGAGGGCCCTTCCCTCCTGTCCAAAGGACAACCCAAAGCAGCTATGACGCTGCACTCCTGTCCAAAGGACAACTCAAAGCAGCTATGCTGCTGCTGACTAAGCCGCCATGCCTGACTCTGCCTCCAGCTCCCTTGGTGCGGCACTACCCCAACTGGGGCCTTCCAGATGCAGCGCCCAACAAGGTGATGAAGATGGTGTCCACCATAGCCAGGTAGGTGCCTCGCCACTCTCCTCTTCGCCCCCTTCTTCCTCCTTCTCAGGCTGGGCTGCTCGCCATAGCCAGGCTGAGCGCCCAGCTGCCCTTCACCTCCAGGCAGCGCTGTACCAGTCCAGCGCTGTGCTCCAGCAGCATGTCCCCAATCCTTGCATACCGCAAATGAGGAGGAGCTACTTGCTCTTCCGGAAGATATAGCGGCCTACTGGCCTCTTGGGCGGTGACTTCCTAGGCCGCGCGGGCTCCTAGCAAGCGGTACCTTCTCCCTTTCGGAGGGAAACATCATTGCAGGCTCTGCTATCGTCCATACAGGCCCTAGACCCGGGCTACTTGGACTGGTACCGGCCTACCTCTAGCCTACCGCTACTGGGCCTTTAAAAATGCCAACTTTTTGTCTTCTTCTTCTCGGCCTCCAGTACCCGACACTCCTACCGCTACTTGCGTGGTACCGGCCTACCTGCTACTTGAGTGTTTTTCCCCGCTTCTCTAAGTGTCACGGGCCTACCCCCGCTACTTGAGTGTTTTCCCCGCTGCAACACTCAAAGTCACAGCCACAGGTAAGTACCGGCCCTGCGGGGCCTTTCAACCAACAAGTACCCTTGCGGGTCACACACACACTCAGCCGACAAGCACTCAGACAGGCATGCAAACCAGCAGGCACGCACACACACACAGACTTGAAAACCACAGCCAAATGCGGAAATCTCAGCAAGGCATTCATTCCAGAGGCAAATCCCAGAAATCAGCAGTGTTCCCAGTCTGTGTTTTTGGCGGGTCATTACACTACCCCCCTCTCAAGAGCGAGGTCCCTTCGAGCGAGTAACTCATTCAGAGTCGTCACAAAATGCATCGTAGGCGTAGATCAGAAAGAGAGATTTAGTACGACCGTGAGGAGTGAGTTTTGCAGAAAACTTAGCAGTCTGTCCATCAATGATCTGTCGTTCATAAGCGTTAACAACACGTGGAACATTCTTTAGCAGCTCTTTTCGGTCGATCCAGAAAAAATCGTTCAACGGGTGATAGGGGAAGTGAACCTTGTACTGTTGTTCCTCCCTCTTCCTTCATGGGAAACGATTTTGTCTATCTCATGGCCGCTGTCGATAGGACGAGGTATCGTAGAATCTCGGAAGGGAAAAGTCTTGTCATCGATGTGTGGAAACAGTTTGGACGCGTGAAAGACTGGATATGTGCGCAAATGAGGAGGCACGTCAATCACATATGAATGACCAAAATCATCCCCAATCACCTTTAGAACCTGCCAAGGGCCATAGTACAATGGAAGAAGTTTTCATGATACGCCCTCTTCGTAAGAAAATTCAGACATTTTGACCCAGACATAACTCCCTACTTTGAAGTTCACTTCTTTATGCGACTTGTTAGCATGTTTGATCATGGCATGCTGATGCTTGTTCATTGCTGCGATAGCAGCTTTGAGCAGGCGTGCATACTTGGCATTGTAGCCAGGCATGTCGGGCGTCAGACCAGGGGACCGTTCGGGGAACAAATAGGAGAGAGGATTGCGCAACTGCCAACCATATTGCAACTGATTCGGTGTCACGCCAGTTGCAGAGTGAATGGAGTTGTTGTATAACCCTTTCACTTTGTGCAACTCTTGTCCCACATGTTCTGATCCGGAACAATTAAAACTCGCAGTAATTGAATGACAGTCTGATTGATTTCCTCAGCCAATCCTGGCTTCGAGGTGTCGACCAGAAGTCTTGAGTTTAATGTCATAGATCTGCGAAGTGAAGTCCTTCCAATCAGCACTGATGAACCTGGTGTCCCGATCACTCACAAAAGTTTTCGGGGTCCATACTGCAAAATGTACTGTTGGTGAAATTCTTCGATCACAAGCTGGTGCATGAGGGGGAAAAGGAATCAGATTCAGAAATTTGGAAAAACGATCCACAATGACCATGACTTGTGAATGTCCTCCCTCGCTCACCTTCCCCATGTCCGTGAAATTGATAGAGACCGACTCACCGGGCCCATCAGGGATTGGGAGGGGTTTCAGCAGGCCATAAGGCTTACGCCTATGGACCTTGGTTCTTTGACAGACTTGACATTCAACAATAAATTTCTGAGCAGATCCCTTCATTCCCAGCCAATCAAACTGCTGCAAAAGACTTCCATAAGTCTTCTCAAAGCTGAAGTGTCCACTCTGACCATGTGCCAAATCCAAGAAATGAGTCCGGAGAGGCGCATGGTTGGGTACACACAAACGATCAAACTTCTCATACCGGCGGAATACAAGACCCTCATACTCGTGAAAATCAGGCTGACTACTAGGGTCAGCCTTGAGCTGCTCAAGGATGGGACTAAGGTCCGGATCCTTGGCAGTGTGTTCGACCAGATCCTCCTTCAGTTTCTTTCGGAGGTCATACGAGTCCACAAGGCAAGTCAGAAACTCAGGATGGCGCGACAAAGCATCAGCGACACGGTTATAACAACCTTTCTTGTGTTTCAGTTCAAAATTGTAAACATCAATGTCATGCAACCAGCGGGTCAATGTCGGAGAGAGATCGGTTTGTGTTTTAATCCACTGCAAGGTCTCATGATCTGAGTAGACCTTGAAGTGACGACCCAAGAGGTAGTGCTTCCAATGTGTGAGCGCTTCTCGCAAAGCATAGAGCTCACGCATATATGTGGAGGTAGCTACCTTGTGGCTGGGCATGCGTTTGTTGTAATCGGACGCAGGCCATCGCCATCATCTTGTTGCAACACTTCACCAATCCCATACTGGCTCGCGTCCGTAGTGACCACGAATGTGAGGTTGTGATCCGCAATGCGGAGCACAGGATGACTTACCAAAGCCTCTTTCAAGGCTTGGAACGCAGTCTCACATTTCTCACACCACGCATAGGCAACATTCTTGCTTGTCAGTCTCGAGAGTGGGTGATCAATAACAAAAAAATTGGGCACAAACTTCCGATAATACGAGGCCAAACCAAGAAAAGAACGCAGTTCGCGTACGATTGTCGGTTGAGCCCAGTTTCTTATGACCTCAACCTTGGTTGCCTCCGGCTCAAGGCCATTTGCAGACAACCGGTGCCCAAGATAGATGACGATGTCTCTTCCAAACTTAGATTTCTCTAAGTTGAGGTGCAGTTGTGCCTCCTTGAGGACCTGCAAAACCTCCTCAAGGTGCTTGACGTGCTCTTCCATGGACTTGCTGAAAATCAGGATGTCATCGAGGTAAACAACAGCAAACCTGTTAAGCTGATGGCGAAGGACCTTGTCCATGAGGCACTGAAACGTGGCTGGTGCATTCGTAAGGCCGAATGGCATAACGATGAATTCGTACAACCCATCGCGTGTTTTGAATGCAGTTTTGTGCTGGTCACTCGGATCAACTTCAATCTGGTGGTAGCCAGATTTGAGGTCGATCTTGGAGAAGACCTTGCACCCACCGGCAGCATCTAGCAGATCATCTATGCGCGGTAAGGGACAAGCGTTCTTTCGGGTGATACGGTTTAGGCCACGATAATCAATACACATCCGGAGTTTGCCTCCTTTCTTCGGCACAAACAGGACAGGTGCACCGAACTCAGACTCACTAGGCCTAATCCATCCACGATCAATCATGCCATCAATTTGTCTCCTCAACTCCTCCAACTCGCCTTGTCTCATATGGTAGACGCAGCCCCTTGGAGGAACACTCCCTTTTATTTTCTCGATTTTGTGTTTGACTGGACGCTCGGGAACTCCACGAGGTTCAGCCAGGACTTCAGGAAATCAATCTAATAAACGGCGAATGTTTGTTGGGACTTCCGGTGGAGGATCATCCTCATCAGAAGAGAGAAAATCAGATTGAGAATTTACAACAATTACAACCGGATTTGAAGTATTTGGATCAGAAGTAGACTGATTTTTTTACAGTAGAAGTAGATGGAACAGAAGTAGAGGTAGTAGAAGTATAATTACTTTCGGAGGTAGAAAATGCAGCAAAAGTAGAAGGCACATGGAGAGGCTTTACAAGAGCTACATGCACATGCTCAGCTTCCTTGCACCTGTGCACTGATTTGCAGAATTTGTTTGCACTCAAAAGAGTCACAGGGGACTCGCGCGTCTCGTCCAATAGAACGGTACACTCGTTCCCCTTGGCATCACGCACCACAAACTGATTATCCGCCCACGTGGTCCTTAGACAATAAGCCTTTAACCAGCCCAAGCCAATGACCGCGTCGAAAGCACACTTGTCCATGACATAAAAGTTCAGCTCATGTGTGACAGTGTGATCCTTGTCAAAAGTGACGCGCACACCTTTGACAGCATGTGTTGAGGTGACAACCTCTTGGTTGCCCACCTGGGTCTGACAAGGGTTCTGCAATTCCACTTGCTTCATTCCCAGGCCCGCCTTACGAATCCCGTTAGGAGAAAATAAGTTAGTCGTTGAGCCATTATCAATCAGCACACGGATGTATCGGCAGTTAATGAGCAGCTTAAAGAAGATCAATTCCAGGTGAGAGTGGAAGTCGACTTCCTTAGTCTCCTCCCAAGGCTCAGTGTACAACACTTGAACTGCAGCAGCCTTGGATTCAACATCGGTCCGGGCTTCAAGAGCAGGCTGTTGATTAGATTCAGGCTCCTTGGAGGGGCCTGCAACTGACTGTTCAGCTTCCCTTGTTGTAGAGAGTGTTGATGACTCTTCTACGCCCTTTGCCTGTTTCCCTACAGACGATAACAGTCCTGCACAGCATGCCCAGGCTTTTGACAATGCAAGCACACGCGCAGTTTGGATCTTCTCTCCCATTCCTTTTGATTGATGCGGAGGGCTTCCCAAGGCTAGGTAGAAGCATCCTCCGGTTTCTCAGGGATCTTTGCATTCTTGGGGAGGTGTGCTATAGTTCCCTTACTCGAACCACGGTTAGGCCCCTTGCTTGAAGCAGTCTTTTTAAAGGCATTACATTTTTCTGCAGTATTCATGTCAGACTCAAGGGCTGATGTAGAACAGCCCACGTCGGAGTCCGGCTCTAGATCGTCATCTAGAGATAGATCATCCGCATAGGACTGATCCTCAGCCTCCCGATGTTCATGCAGGGCAAGCTGGTTGTTGCTTCCGTACTGCTTGCGTTGCGAGGTTCTACCTGCAGCGGGTGCCTTTGTACGCCTGGCGAGGTCCTTGGCTTCTAGTTTGACTAGATCCGTCAGTAGCTCTCGCCAAGTCGTATGGTCTTTGAGTCCTAGCCGGGAGACATATTCTTTAGGGGCCACTCCCATAACTACATCCATGCAAGACACGTCAGTCCATCCCACGTTTGGAGTGGTGAACAAACCAGTCAAGTGCTGCTCCAAAGCCTGCACGGAAGTCCACGTTTGGCCCTTGAGGGCCTCAAGCTTCAGCCTTGCCTTGAGCACAGCGTGCTTATATCTTGATATTGCGCGATGAGGAGGTCCTCAAGAGTACGTACAGCAGTTACTTTCAGCCACTCAGTCAGATCAATTCTCTCATAACCTACGGTATCAGCTTCCAGTTCTATGAAACTCCGTACGACGGGCTCAATATTTGTGCCCATGATCATGCTTCGGTCTTCCTGCGATGTTCGCGGTACCTCGAAGTATGAGCACATGGAGCTAATCCAAGAGGTGATGTTCCCCTTCCCGTCGTACTTGGACGGCAGAGTGGCCGCCCTCTTGTCCACTACGGGACCGCTGTATTGTACGCCAGTAAGAACTGCGGCGTTTTGGGTTGATGCTCCTACATTTGGAACTAGGACTAGTGCAGAACTGTCGGCGCCGTCGCTTGAGGATCAGGCACCGGTTCCTGTGCTCGTCACAGTTCCACTTGCTCTTGACATGAGGACTGTGTTAGGGTGAGGGACTGGGACTGCAGTCGGTCGAGGATTAGGAGGACGGGGGGCAGACAATTGGGACTGTTTGAGGCTGATTATCTCAGCCTGCAGCTCTTGGTTTCGCTGCTCTAGAGCTGTCACACGGGACTCTATATCTTCCAGGGCCCGCAGTCGAACCAAGGTTGCTACGGCAACAACTAGCTTCTCTTGGAACCGGTCATCATTCGATTCAGGAACCTCAAGGAGGGCCACCTGTTCAGCAATACTTGTGGCTCTGGCTGCTGCCTTTGCCTCCCTCTCTCTGTGTATTGCGTCCTCTTGTGGTCCAAGGCCGCCCTTTGCATAAAGGACTGGCTAATGAAGTTGCGAGTCGCGCCGCTATCCAGCAAAGCGTTGCAGGACGCTTGCCCAACTTGGATGCGGACATAAAGGAGTGGTGCGTTGTTGTCGTCGTACCGTTGCGTGCGAAACTCGCGGGCCACCTTGCTAACGTACACAAGAATGTCCCTCACCGCAACTTCGTCCTCCGTTGGCGAAGTTGGCGGCGCATAGAAGGCTAGGTATGTATGTAGATGAGCGCTAAGAGTTGCACATTGCGGCTCCGGTAAGCAGCCGGTGGAAGGGAGAGGGAGCCATGCAAAATCCTCGGCGTCAATGGGTCCAAGTCCTCTATGTTGAACGCGCGCGCCGAATGTCGTGAAGGTCCACTTGAAGGCGACTCAATGTTGCTGCTTCCGATCGGAGAAGAAACCGCACATACATCCTGTCCTTGGGCTCGTGAATTCCGCGAAGGTACGAGTTGGGCAGCATAGTCCTCGAAAGAATGAAGAATGGGAGGACTTACGACTTCCACAACCGAGGGAGGTTACCCGTACGGCAACCGGTTCCGAAGGCGTCGAGAGTGTCGTCGCATCACTCTCGGCGGTGCTCACTTTCCCGACTAGCTTTCGTGGGATAGTTCACGGTCTCATGTGCCGCGCAGTTGCACCACAAACAATAACGGTACTTGCTGTGGACGCGATACCCGTGCTCCGTCAGACTGTATTGTGTCTAAGGTTCTTGAGCTGGAGCTGCTTGTCCGGGCCCAGAAGAAGTGGTGTTTGTCTTCGTTTTGCCTCGTCCTCGTCCTTTGGCGGGCCGACCACCATTCTGGGCAGCTGCTAATCTGTCTCCCTCGGCAGAAGAGGCAGCCTCGTTTGAAGTTGAAGGGTCGTTTGGCGCTGCTGCCGCGACCACGACCACTTTAGGCCGATTCTGATACGCGCCTTGGCCGGCTGTCGACGAACGGTCAATGTTCTTGGCTTCCAAGTTCGTCACAATGATCTGCGCGGCCTTGTTGAAGAGTTCCTCACTTGTGTTGAGGTTCTCAACGACCTGAGTTAACGCATTTTGCAATGCTGGGCATGACCTTTTGATGAAGTAGAGCTTGATGCCGTCCAAGTTCAGCGGCAGCTTGGGCGTGCTCTCTAGGCGTTGGAACTCAGATATCCGGTCTCCGCTTGGCATGCTGTTCTGTGCGAATGTTAGCAGCTTGTCCATTGCCTGATGTTGGGGCGGTTCCACTTGGAAACGCTTCTTCCATGCCGCCGTGGGATCGGCCCAAGTGATGAAGTTGTGTAATTCGGAGATTGTGCATGCATGTGCGGACAACATGTTGTCCAACCATGCTTGGCAGGCACCTCCTGACCGGGAGTACAAGTATGCGTGCCGGTTTGTGTGGACGACATGGTGGATGTCCAACTTTAATTCGAACTGGCGCCACCAAGGTATAGGCTTCGTCTTCGATGCATCACAGGAGATCGGGAGCCCCTCAAATTTGGGGATGCTCTCATGAGGCGCTGAGCTCGGTGTGGCTGCTGCCCCCACCTGCCGGTCCAGTCGCTGTGTCTCGGTTTTGTTACATGCTGCGCCTGCACACTTCAGCCAAAAAGCCTAGAAATAAGGGCTTACAGGCCCCATGTCGTTTCAGCCTGAAAACTGAAAACGAGGGTCTGCAGGCCCTATGTCGTTTTCAGCCTATAACAGGGCCGTTCAGGCCCTAAGTCTTTTCAGCCTGAAGTACTTACCTGCAGCGCCGTTGCTCCAGCTTCGTCTTCGAGGTACCTGCAGCACAGCGCCAACATCACAGGTTAGTATCTGGCTCATAACAGAGAGAGAGAGTCCTTCTTCTTCCTCTTCTCAGCCCACCATCTCCCTCTCCCCCTCTCAAAATCTGACTTCACTGCATCTGCAGACTACGAGAGAAGAGAGACAGAGCTTGGTCACATCGGATCCAGACTCGACTTTTGGACTTCGGACATGGCAACGAGGGATTATTTGGGATTGGTGACAAAGACTTGGGGTTGACGACATTCCCATCTCTCGCCCTCCTTTCGTCTGATTCCTTCCTCTTCGTCTGTGTATGTCTGGACCTGGCGCTTTCTTCCTGTGTACAGCGCCAGGCTCCTTCACACCTGGTGATGGATACGATGTATGTTTGGTCTGAGTTCAAACTTTGATTGGGCTAGTTATTAGCATTCTAGCATTCTGTTTCGCTACTTTGTACTACGTGGATGAGGTCAGTCCCGGTCAGGTCAGGCTTTGTATCTAAGTCTTCCCTGCGCTATTCAGCACCATTTTGTATGTATGAGAATGCACATTGTCTGTTGAGATTCTACTCACACCGCATTGTCCGTTCAGTCCTTTTCATCACATTGCAGATCCTCGGTTATTACGTACATTGCATATCTGTGCATGCAACAGTTTTGAGCGTTCCCACGTCTATCTCCAAGACGTTGATGCGGTCGACGAGGTCGGAGGAGCCGGCGCTGGAAGTGGCGACGGGTCGCTGCTCCAGCTGCTGTATGCGCTTGGTCAGCGCCAACAGCTGCTGTATGCGCTTGGTCAGCGCCTGGTTGGCGTGGTCGAGAGAGTGAATGTCCTCCTGCTGTGCAATGCAAGTAGCGAGGAGGTCCGTGACGCGGTTGAGCAAGAGAGCAATCCTTGTCCTGTAGTCAACGGAGTCTCCATTCTCGGCCTCCTTCTGCCAATCCTTGGCTTGTGCGTGTAACGCAGTTTCCTCCTTGAAGAGAATCTCCCGCCGCTGTACGCGTTCTTCATCGGCGGCCTTTGCTGCTGCTGCTGCGTGCTTCTGTCGTTGATCTTCGGCCACCCGACGCAGCCTCTCTGCCTCTGCCTCCCTCTTCTTCCGTGCTGCTGCTGATGCTTCTGCCCGTTGCTTGCTTTCAGCCATGATGGCCGCCAATCGTGTCTCATAGGCTTCGTCAGTCTCGCCGGCCTTCTGATCCATCCCTGCTGTCTATGAACGAGTGAGCAGGGTCATGTACCGCGGACAGCTGACGTGGCCTGCAAAGGTAGAGACTTACCTAAGCTGAACTGATGGGCAGTTGAGCAAGAAGAAGAGGAGTTGGGAGGGAGAGGTGGGGAGTGGGGAAATCGAGTGAATCGCCCAGATAAGGAGCCACTAATCAAAAATGAAAAGTTGGAACTTTGCAAAAATCTCGAGAAAATAAATAAAAATATATTAAATAATTATTAATTAGTAAAATTTCTCGATTGCAAGTTCGGTAGGTCTTCTATGTTTCCCACAACAGGTAATTCGAAAAAAATTTCGAATTTCAGACTGCGAAGAAAAATAATAATGAATGGAGATGATCAAAATAACTGAACTGCGAAAATAAAACAATTCCGCAAGTTCGGAGAATTCCGAGACATTAAAAAACTTCGGAATTTTCTCAAGTGAGAGTATGCGCAGTTTGACGACTGCAGAGGAATTTCCCCGTAGAAAAGAATTTCCGAATCTGGGAATAACGGTCAAATTTCGCATTTCTGTTACCCCGGAATGCGTGAAAAATAACAAAACGTGAAAAATTTCGGAAATAAGTTCGAAAGAAAAAATTTTGGAATTTCGAATTAACAGGAATTGCGAAGTATGAGGATCTGAGTCCTCGGCAGGCCTAAGGGGCCCCGGTTACAGTGGTGCCCACCCTAAGTGAAGGCGGGCCTAACATTTTACAAGAGGCCTTTGACTGTCAATTTCATATTTGGGGTACAGGCAGTTGCGACGCGCCAGTTGGTTGAGAGAAACACAGGCCGAGCAACAAAGACATTTCCAAGGCCTACCGGGCCTTTCCAAAGAATGCAGGCCCTGGGTGTGTCACAGCCTCATACATTGACAGTTGGGAGGCCCAACCGAATGAGGCCCAGACGCTGCAAGTAGCATTCATCTTTTCCTTCTGCAAGGAAAATAAGCAACAGCGAGATGACAAATTCCAGATTACACCATCACATTGAAAGCCAGATAGTCACACTGTGTCCAGAGAGCAGCATTGCACCAATAATACACCAATGGAGGTTCGTAGTCCAGTCCCTTCACACTCCTACTTGGCGCTCAGCGCCCAGCCTACTCCTACACAGCTACGATCAGCCTACTAATAGACAATGCAACTGTTGACATCAGCGGCCACCAGAAGTACTTGAAGATGTCGCCCATATGCAGACCATCGCCAATACAAGGTATGTGCCCTCACATCATCATCATCATCATCATCATCATCATCATCCTTCGCCCTTCCCTGACTTTACACCCACACATTGTCCTCACTTACACCCGAAGACCACCCCTGTGCCTCACTGTGCATCAATGCCCAGCCCGCTATGAAGGCTGGCTATGGCGCTGCGCTCAGCAGCGCCCTGCTCCAGCACACGACCGCACGTGCGCAGCCTTTTGCTCCAATGCCGGCAGCCGGCCCGCGAGCAATTGCTCCAGCAGCGCTGCCGCCAGCCAGCAAGTGACCAAATTTTTTTAATGCCAGGGGAGAGCTCTTTCCATAAAGGAAAGAGCTGGCCTGCTTGCGCAGCCTGGCTGCACTGGCCTGGGCCCAGAGGCTTCGAAAATTTTTCGTAATGTTTTCGGACTTCCAGCACCGGAATTTCGAATTAAAAAAAAAGAAACGAGAATTCCAGATGCTACGCTATTGCGATTTTCCACCAAAAAAATAGCGGGAAGATGAAATCCAAAAGAGAAAAAAAATTCGATTTCGGCAGTTAGGTCGAAAATCTGCGATTTTGGGGACTAATTAGTGTGTCCTAATCAATCAATCAATCAATCAATCAATCAATCAATCAATCAATCAATCAATCAATCAACCAATCAATCAATCAACCAACCAACCAATCAATCAACCAATCAATCAATCAATCAATCAATCAATCAATCGATCTTCGATTGTCCCCGCGCTTGTGTCAGATCAGGTTGTCCTGATTCACAAGCGGGGCTCTGATACCAAACTGACGCATGCCCAATGGGACAATGCGTAGGGAGCCAAGGATCCGCAATGTGATGAAAAGGACTGAAATGGACAATGCAAGGTCAGCGTAGCATCAACAAGCAATGTACATTCCGATACATACAAGATGGCACAAAGTGGCGCAGTGGAAGACTTAAAAGAGAAGATCTGATCTGATCTGGACTGACCCGACATCCACCATACATCGCACATGTGAGAAGGGAGGAGGGACTGCAAACACAGAAGAAAGGTCCCTCCTTCACACACATACATGGGGAGATACCACGGATGAGAGATGGGGGGAAGGGACAAGACGAAGGAGAAGGAGGCGAGTGAGTAGACCAAGATCGCACTAGCGAAGTCCCAAAAATAGTCCCTTGCCGAGTGTCCAATCAATGTCTGTGCCAGAAATGTCGAATCAGATCCTGGGCAATGTGCCCAACCTAACCTCTGCCTGTATTCCCTACTGATATCCTCTCTTACTCTCGTAGCTGAAGAAGAAGGTAAGAAAGAGAAGGAAGAAGGAGAAAGGAGAGAGAGAGAGAGAGATGGAGGGAGGAAGAAGAAGAAGATGACATCCTCCTTGCTATCTCACCTGCAGGTAGCTGTCACCGTACTGACTGTGGTCGTCGTCGTGTGCAGGTACCATGCGGAGCCCAGCTATGGCACCAGGTAAGTTCGTCGCTTGCAGGTAAGGCCTCTGCCTCTCTCCACTTCCTACTCTGCTACTCCCTACTCCGTAGCTTGGCGCAGAAATAACGTTGCTTCAACCAGCAGCGTGTCGCTCCAGAAGTGAGCTATTCCAACTGTCCTTGCCCAGCCGCTGCCCAACTTATTTGTAGCGCTGGGCAGGCTGGGCCTACCTGCTGCTGGCCTCAGAAAACGGCCCAGCTGGTCTGGGTGCCTACCGGACGTCCAGACCACGCTGCTGATGCAGCAAGGCGCAGAAATGCGCCTGGCCTAAAAACGGCCCTGTTCCTGTGCACCTAGTCCAAGGCGTCGCCTTGGGACCTACAGGACCGAAACGACGTCTGTTTGGCGGCCTCGTTTCGGGCCTGTCTCTGGTGTACCCAGTCCCAAGGTCCGGCCTTGGGGCTGCGAGTCCGAAACGGCATCTGAACAGGCAAAAATAAGACAACACACACACACACCGAAAGGTAAGTAAACAAAGCCTATCTACCTAGTGTGCTACCTAGGGCCTGAAGGGCCGCCGTGGGCCTCCAGGGCGCGTGCTGTATGGTACGTGGCCTGGGGGCCCCTCAGCAACCGTCGGCCCCCTCAAATGGGGCCCGTGTGCAGGTGCAGCATGTAACATAGTGGTGTCTGCTTTTATCAGTACCACTAACACTGAAGAGGGCGTTGGAAAAAGAAAAAGAAAAAAAAAAGGATAGTAATATCATATACCAGGCAATAAACAGAGAGATGCAGGTGGACTACAAAAGGAGTGCAGAGAGTAGCTATTGGGGGGCAACGTTAGAATGTAGAAAGTGAGTGCATATGCATCATGGCAAAAATCTGACAGCATAAGGAACCATAAATGGATCCTAGTCCATATTAATCAGAGGGGCGCCCTCATGGGTGCTCTCATGGCCTGCCATCATCGTCTGACTAGCTAGGCATGGTGGACCTGCTCTCAAATGTCAGAGACATTCAGGTCAACGACGAGGGAGGCTTCCCGATTAACCCGAAGGACAATTCTCATAAACCGCAACACCTCCTGATTTACTAGGTCGAAGTTGGTCCCATATGCATTCTCACCCAGCTCTGGTCATTGGTCCGACCACTTTTTTATAGTGACTTCGATCTTGTCTTGGCCCCTCTCATACTCATAGAAGGTTGCTATTGCCTTGCCCCCCTTTAGAGTCCGCTGATAGGCAGATGACGTTATTAAAAGCAACCATTCATCCTCTGAACTCGGTTCCTCAAAAACCGTCATTCTTTAGGCGACCCTGCATCGTCACATCAGCACCTCCTCTTGGTCATGAAGTTGGTTTCCTAGTCTCCGTCAAGAATAAACTCGACTGCGATCCAGGCAATGCATTGTAAATCAGTCCTTTGAGCCTCCTGACACCGAGCGTACGCTCACTTTGCCTGCCACCGCTCAGTCCTGTTGACCTCATTCTTTAGGCGGCCCTGCATCGTCACATCGGCACCTCCTCTTGGTCATGAAGTTGGTTTCCTAGTCTCCATCAAGAATAAACTTGACTACGATCCAGGCAATGCATTGTAAATCAGTCCTTTGAGCCGCCTGACACCGAGCGTACGCTCACTTTGGCTGCCACCGCTCAGTCCTGATGACCTCCCCAGTCGAAGTAGTTCCCAAAATCAGGTTCACAGAGATATCCCAGATCAGAATTGGATTGATTTGTGGTCTCTCCATTTGTGGCTCCAATTGTCTGTGATGATGATGCACCTGTCTCAGGGGCCTTCATCTTGGCAGTCGCGATGATCTCTTGAGCGTAACAGATACTTGACAGAGAAAACTCAGCAGACTCTTCTTAGTCCTCTTGTTCCCTCTCTCTCTCCTTTCAGTTGGGGGTCAAATCACGAGTAGACCGCTCAAAAACGTAAGGGACACCACCACACAAGCTGGGACAGAGAGAAACACTACTTGCCTTGATCCAATTGTTAAGACATTGACTCACTGAGCTCGTAGTCAGTCATGCGCACAAGTATCTGTCGGCCTCTTAACTCCCCCCACTGTATCAATAAATCTAGTTCCTCCCTTGCTGTCTGTAACAGATCATCGGGGCTTTCAACTTTTCTGAGCAGTACAAATGATGTACGGACGGACGAATGCCCGGCCATGTCGATCAATGTAAGTTTGCTGTGATAAGCAATGCCTATGAAGATCATTTTCGGGGCATGAATTCTCTTCATCTTTCAACTTTTAAGTACTTAGATCTTGAAAGAACTTTCAAAATTCGGAGGTCTTGAGATCAGAGCACGCTTTGGCTTTACCCTTTTGTTTCCTTTGTTACAATCCTGGTCATTTCCAAAGTGCAAATTCACAAGGAAAGACAATGCCACCCAATTGCGAAAGAAATGAAAGCACTTGAAAAGGATAGAGACCAAAGAAGAGAGAAAGAAGAAGAAGAAGAAGAAGAAGAAGTACACCAGCAAGACCAATGACAAATCCCCCGTCTCTCTCCACCTTCCTCCTCCTCCTTGACTTCACCAATCTTATTCTTCTTCCAAATAATAACAATAACAATGAGTGGTTGAACCAGAATCAATATCCGAAGTCCCCTCTTACTACTAGCACAACAATAGGTCCACCATAGCCATGGCTTCCCTCCTTTGTCCTCCTCTCTCATGCAATCGCTATGGCGGACTACTAAGGGCTCTGCCTTCTTGTGCAAAGGACAACACAAAAAGCAGCTATGTCGCTGCTCATCAGGCCGCCATGCCTGACTCTGCCTCGAGCTTCCTTGGTGCAGCACTACCCCAACTGGGGCCTTCCAGATGCAGCGCCTATCAAGGTGACGAAGATGGTGTCCACCATAGCCAGGTAGGTACCTCACCACTCTCCTCCTTCGCCCCCTTCTTCCTCGTCCTCAGGCTGGGCTGCTTGCCATAGCCAGGCTGAGCGTCCAGCTCCTTCGTCGATCTCACAGGCAGCGCCCCAAGTCCAGCGCTTGGCTCCAGCATTATGTCGCCAATCCTTGCACACCGCAAATGAGGAGCTACTTGCTCCTCCAGAAGATAAAGCGGCCTACTTGCCTCTCGGGCAGTGACTTCCTCGGCTGCGCAGCCTCCCAGCAACCGGTACCTCCTTCCTTTCGGAGGGAGACATCATTGCAGGCTCTGATATCATCCGTACAGGCGCTAGACTCAGGCTACTTGGACTGGTACCAGCCTACCTCTAGCTTACCGCTACTGGGCCTCTAAAAATGCCAACTTTTTGTCTTCTTCTGCTCCGCCTAGAGTACCCGACACTTCTACCACTACTTGAGTGCTACCGGCCTACCTGCTACTTGAGTGTTTTGCCCGCTGCTCTAAGTGTCGCGGGCCTTCCCCCCGCTACTTGAGTGTTTTTCCCGCTGCAATCCTCAAAGTCATGGCCACGGGTAAGTACCGGCCCTCCAGGGCCTCCAAACCAACAAGTACCCTTGCGGGTCACACACACACAGTCAGGCCGACAAGCACTCGGACAGGCATGCAGACCAGCAGGCACGCACAGACACAGACTTAGAAATCACGGGAGAATGCGGAAATCTCACCAAGGCATACATTCCAGCGGCCAATCCCAGAATCAGCATTGTTCTCAGTCTGTGTTTTAGCGGGTCATTACACCTTCCAAAGGGGAATAGCCCCTAACCTTGTTGTATCCATCTGATTGAATCAGGATTTGAACTCATAGCCTGTTAATTAACAGTAACATGTGTATACCATTCAGCCACATGGGCTGGGTGCCTTTTTTCCCCCAATAAGTTCTGAGGTTTATGATTGGTTGGAGGCAGCAAAATGTTAAGGGACCTCACTCCAGCTGTGTCGAAGCTGCACCTGCTGAAAGTTGCACGCGAAGATGACATCACACTGACGAAATGGCCACTCTGCAAATGACAAAGGAAAAGAGAAACAGAAGAGGGCCTGTGAGAGCAGGTCAACCAACACCACGAAAATTTGGCAAATAAATTGATGGTATAATCGGCATGCTCTAGCTGCGTAAAAGTGGGCTTCATTCAGTCCCAGTGGGAAACTGAGTGGCATCTGCTGTCTCCCCTCATAAATTGGCAGAAACTAAGAAACTGATACCTGGCTCAAAAATTGTCTCAAACCAAGGGCTCCTTTTTTTTTGTGGGTACTGGGATCCATTTTCCAGACAAGTACTTGAAACCATGGTAACCCCAGACCCGGACACCGGACACTTCCGGACTGTCTTCTGGACCAGTGTCTGGACCGGTCCGGACTGTCCGGTGATCCGGAGATCACCAGACATCGGCCATCACCGGACACCGGACAGTCCGGACCGGTCCCCGGGGTGCAAAAATGTCCGGACCCAAAA